AGGAGGTAACAGCTCCTGGGTACAGGTCTGGGCCCTCTGTGTGCGCCCCCGGGGCACCTGTGGTCACCTGGGCCGTGTCCTGAAGCGCTTTGTCTGCCCAGATTGCACAGCTGCGCCATGAGGTCTCCATGCGGGATGACCTTCTCCACTTCTACACCACCACAACGGAGGAGAGTGAGCCCACCACCACCGCCTCCACACCGTGAGTGGGAGTCCCTGTCCTGCCACTCACCCGGGGCAGAACTGCTCCTGTGGGTCAGGCAGGAGCCATCACCATCCCTAGGGTAGCACTGACCACTCGCCCTTCCTTCCCTTGGTGGCCATGGGTCCAACCCCACAGAGCTCGGTCGCTGCAGATGCCTGGGAGCTGAGGGAATGGGCAGGGATCTGAGCGGGCAGCCCTATCCTGCCTGCACTGCAGGTGCTCAGGCCATCCCTGCTGTCCCCAGGCTGCGCAGGAACGAGTCCTCGCTGTCCTTGCAGCAGTACTTCCAGTACGACACCTTGCAGCAGAAACTCAAGTGCCTGGAGGAGGAGAACCAGAAGCTCCGCATGGAGGTGAGCAGAGCCAGCTGGTGGATGCCCCTCAGTGCCCACCTATGCCCTGCTCTCTATGGGGGGACCCGAGATGCCCCCTCAGGGAGACAGGAGATCCTGCCTGTCATGCTCAGGCCCTCCAACCCTCTCCCCCAGGCCAGCAACATCGCCACTGAGACCCGTCAGTACGAGGACCAGGAGCAGCAGCTGATGATTGACTGCGTGGAGCAGTTTTGTACGTAGGGCTCGGGGGGGTCTGCAGGCACTGCCCAGCCGGGTGGGCTGGGGCTGGGGCCGTTCCCCGGCGTTGACAGACCCCGGCCCTCCCGCAGCCGAAGCGAGCCAGCAGGTAGTTCACCTGTCGGAGCAGCTGGATCATAAGGAGGACGTGGTGGCACGGAAGGAGGAGGAGAACACCCAGCTCCGGGCGCAGAACGCGGACCTGCAGCAGAAGTGTCGCACGGTGAGGGTCCCCTGCCCGTGCCGGGGGGAGGGGGGTGCGGGCACAGGGCCCTGACCTTGGCCGCTCCTGCCCCCGCAGTACTGCTCCGAGCTGGAGGAGCTCCAGCAGCACCTGACCGCGGAGAAGGAGGCGAAGCAGCAGCTCCTGATGGAAGTGAGCCCGGGGGAAGCCGTGGGTGCCCGGCCTGGTGGGGGATCCTGCCCCGCTGCCCCCGGGGCCGTGCTCGAGCTGTGCCCGTGTCCTCGCAGCTGCGGGATCTGCAGGAGAAGTACGCGGAGTGCGGTGGGATGCTGCAGGAGGCCCAGGAGGAGGTGAAGAGCCTGCGGAGCCGCAGCCTGCCCAACAGCACCGTCAGCCGCTACAGCGCGGCCGCTCTCCTGCCCGTGGTGAGCGCGGGGGGCCGGGCACCAGGGTGGGGGTCCCTGCTCTCCCCTCTACTGACACTGCTGACCCGCGTCCCCAGGACTCGCTGGCGGCTGAGATCAAGGGGATGATGAGGAAGAGGACGGACAGCTCCTCCTCAGACTACAAGTGAGTGCTGCCATCGGTGGCTCGTGCTGTGCCATGGGACAGGGGTCCGGCTCACTCTGTCCTGCTTTCGGCCCACAGGAGCTACCAGCGCGTCTTCGAGACGGTGAAGGCCGTGAACCAGGCAGCTAAAGCCAAGTCTTGCTCTGAGTCTCCCCACCACGTTCCGGGCTCCAAGCAGTTGTCTGCTGCCCACTCTGAAGGGACCAGCACCCCCCAGACCAGCTGCTCCGGCTCGGAGGAGGCCCAGTGAGTGCTGAGATGGGGGGGAATGGGGCCAGGTGGGACGGTGGCTGCTCCTGCACAGGAGCTGGGGTGCCGGTGAACTGCTGGTGACAGGGACAGGGAGGGCAGGGTCTGGCTGGGGCCCGGCACAGTGCAGGACTGCAGCCCCGGGCCCCCTAACGCTGTGCAGGAGAGCCGAGGGGGCCAGCGAGGACTCGCGGGCAGTCCCGGGCCGGCGGGACCTGGAGGCGGCGGTGCAGCGGCTGTCGGTGCGGCAGCAGAGCCACGTCTCCGAGGAGCGCTCCTTCTTCGAGGCCGAACGGGAACGCAAGCTCTGGCGGCTGAGAGATGGGGCGAGCTCCAGTGGCTTCCTCACCCCCGAGAGCAGCATCGCCTCCACTGGGACCAACTACTCCGCAGGCTCGGAGCTCACTGCTGGCTCCGGCTTCTCCCTCGGCTCCCTCACCTACCTACCCGACAAACTGCAGATCGTGAAGCCGCTGGAAGGTGAGGGGCAGAGGGGGTGCAGAGCTGCAGGTGCTCCGAGGGTCCTACACCCCCACCTGAGTTCTCCCCGGCTGTGTCCCCCCAGGCTCTGTGACACTCCACCACTGGCAGCAGCTGGCACAGCCCAACCTGGGTGGGATCCTGGTGCCCCGTCCTGGGGTGCTCACCAAAGACTTCAAGCAGCTGGACGTAGACCTGGAGGAGGTGTACAGTCTCAATGACCTGGAGGAGGATGATGTGGACGCCAGCTCCTTCCAGCGGCTCCCTACCTCAACACCCGCCAAAGCCAAGGAGCGCCCCAGGGGTGAGCGCGGGGTCAGGGGACGGAGGGGACGCAGCCCCCGGGATGCCCCTGTCCTATCTAGGCTGCCCCTCGCCTCCCCCCGTGCTCTCCCCTCTCGCAGCAGCCTGTCCCTGCCAGCCACCCGTCCCCACGGGGATGCTCCGCCTGCAGCAGCGCAAGGGCCGTTCCCAGGCGGCCGCCCCGGCGGGACGTGCCCTCGCCATCGCCCTGGCGAGCCCCTGCTGTGCCCCGGCTGCTTGGAAGGGGCAGGTCTGGGACAGACGGCATCTCCTGCTCCCACCTGTGCTGGCTGCCCCCTCTGACAGGCACCAGACACAGCTGCTGCTGGAGCTGTGCTCTGCGCTTGGAGCTTCCAGCCCAGCTTTGGCTGTCCCGCCTGCCCTCCGCCTGTGTCCTGCCATCCTCCCCATTGACCCCTTGTCTCCTGTCCCTTCCAGTGTTCCTCTCTGTTAACAACCTCCCCCAGACCCCGTCTACCTTCACCATCACCACCTGCCACATCCTCCACCCCACCACTGCGATCACTACGGTGACATCCAGGTAAGGCGCGCGGCCCCCGCCACCCGCGCTGCCTGCACCGGCCCCGGCCCCGCTGTGTCCCCCGAGCTCTCTCCTCCTCCTCCTTCCCAATGCCTGGTTCCCTGCAGCGCCTCGTGCTTTGAGAGATGCCAGCACTAGAAATACCCCTAAATCTGGCTGCTGGGGTGTCTTTGTACCCGGGGCTGGGACCAGCCCCCCTCCTTTGCACTGCAGCACCCTGATGGATGGAGAGCTTTCCTCGGGTGGGCTCACCCCGGGCACAAAGCGGCGAGTGCTCCTGACACTCTGGGGAACCGACACAGCTTTCCTCCCTCCACACTTGGGCAGCAGCCAGGAACTTTTCTCAGCTGGGTGCTGGGCTGTCCCTTCATTAATGAGCACCGGTGATTAGCCCTAATGAGCCCTCCCAAGGCTTGTTGGGGGTTGGTGCAAGCTTGGAGTTCACGGTTAGAAAAAACCCTGGTGTCTGGAAATTGCTTGTGGAGCAGTGACTGTGTTCCAGTCTCTCCTGGCTGCTGAGGAACAGCCCCCAACACTCTTTGTGAGCTTCGGGTGCTTGAGCAGTTTGCAGCACCGGGGTCTCCTGAAGCCCAAGGCTCTTTACATGAAGGCGGACAGGGGGGTCCTGCTCTGCCTGCAGCCCTGCCTGGCCCTTTCAGCAGCATCCCCCAGGACAGGGCTCCCAGCTGATCCCCACTTCTGCTCTCTCTTCCCCTCCAGTCTGTATCATGCCGTCGTGCCTTCTTGTGGGCCCTTTGAGGGGCTGACCCTCAGCAGCCCCTCACCAGAACAGACTCCCCCCACACTGGCGCTTGGCCCTGGACCCCCGGGCACCCCCACGGGACTCTTCAGGCTCTTGCTGGGACGAGATTCCCACTTGGCACCAGGGACTGGATCACGGTGGGCCCCCTCACTCCACTCCCAGGACCCTCAGCATTCTGAGCCACAGCCCTCCCCTGTGCCCAGTCAAGGTGGGTCCCCACCCAGGAGCAACATCTTCAGCTGGAACCTGGTGGAGAAGTTGCAGCGCCTGGGGCTGGACAAGGTGGTGGCCAGAGGGGAGAAGTCCTGTGCTCAGCCAGGACCCAGAGGGGCCTGGGGCACCCAGAAGTGACACTGCTGTAGAGCCCCCAGGCTCAGGGTGAGACACTTCCTCTTCCTCACCCATCCATGGGGAAACAAAGACAGGATAAACTTCAGCCTCAGCTCCTGGTGCTGCCCCAGGTCCATCAGCGCTCCTGGCACCAGCATGGGGGGCTTTGCCCTGGCTGCAAGGACAGAACCTGGCACTGCTCCCCATGTATGGGGGTACAGAGGGTGCTGGCTGACCCTATCTCTTCTGGGGGAGTACGGACCCTTCACAGGAGCCAGTTTCTGGCAATAAAAACTGTTCCTGCTTCTGCTGAGCCTGTCTGCAGAGCGAGAGGCAGCGTGGCCCATTTGGGGCTGTCCAGATGCTGCAGCGAAGGGCAATGCTCAGTCTGGGCTCGGGTGTGTCCTGGGGCAACACGCTGGGGCCGGGGGGAGATCCCTGCACCCTGGGCTGGGCCCCTGGCCAGCACCTGCACTGGACTGGCTTTTAAAGGGAATGGTAGTTTAACTCTTTCCTGCCCACTGAATAGCAATAGTAGCAGCACCCACAGCTTGGGATGCTTTGGGGGGTGCATCTGTTGCTTCCACCCAGCCGTGTTCCTCCCTCCAAGCTGTGCCCCATCCCCTGGAAAATAAATGTGAATTCACAGAGCAGCTCGTGTGTGCTGTGTCTGCTGCCATGTTCTGTGTTTGCTGCTGTGCACAGTTTGGTCTCTGCCCTTCGTGTCCCTCTGGGGCTGGGGACAAGTCCCCTCTGCCCACCCTCCCAGGCTCTCCCCAGCACAGCCAAGAGTGCCGAGGCCGTAGTGCCAGAGTTTTATTGTGGGAAAGGACATGCACTGAGTGTGTGGCCAGTCCAGCCCGGCAGCTACGCAGCACCAGCCTCGTCCTCAGCACTGCGGCGGCCGAAGTCCATCCAGTCGGGGTAGTAGTGGTCATGCAAAGCCTCCATCCCCTCGTCCTCATGCACAAAGGCCTTGTGCTTGTTCAGCTCTGCCAGGGCAAGGGCAGCAGTTAGAGCTGGCACAGGGGCCAGGCTGTGCCCCCTGAGGGCTGCCCACCCTGAGCTCCCAGTACCTGTGAGGATGTGGGGCAGGAACTGGGACAAGAGGTGCTGCTGCTCCTGGGACAGGTACTCGGGCCAGTCCCGCCGGACCAGGCTGGGGGGGTGCTGCTGGGGGTCCCCCATGGCCCCTGGTGCTGCTGGCCGGGACAGGCAGGCGGCCACTGTGAGGGTGAGGATGAGGCCGAGGCACAGCATCACCTTCATGGCTGTGGAGAGACTCAACAGGGGTGGGCAAGTGGGGGAGCTGCAGCCCAAAAACTGGGAATGCTCAGTCTGTGGTGAGGGTGGCCTGGGCACTCAGCCCCAGGCCATGGCCAGTTCACAGTCTCTTCTGTCCCTCCCTTTAGGTCCCCAAGTCCCCTCCATCCCTTCCATCTTCTCCCCAAATCTTCTCCACCCCCCTCTGCTGGCTGGTTCCCAATTCCCCTAGAATCAGAGTCAAGGCAAAGGGATCCATAAGGATCAAGTCCCATTCCTCGCTCCTTGTAAGGATGCTGAAAACTAAAGCACATGACTAAGAGCATTATCCAGCTCCTCCTTGAACTCAAACTGCTGAGGAGCTGGGTTCTTATCCCCAGGGCATGGCCAGGCCCCAGATCCCCTCTGTTCCTCTTAGTGGATCTCTGAGTTGCTTTGTCCCTCCCATCTGCTCCTCAACTTTTCTCCATCTCTCTCTCCCAGCTGGTCCCCAAGTCACCTGTGGACAGTGCCAGAGCCCTGTGAGACTCACCTGTGGGTTCTGAGGCTCAGCAGGGTGTCCCAGTGGGTGTCCTGGTGGGTGTCCTGGTGGGTCTCAGTGGATATCTCTCTCCAAGATCGCCCCAGCTCAGTCCCTCTTTTAAAGGCGCTGCCGGGGTTGCCACACCCCAGGGTGGCTCCACACGCATCCACCCGCCCCCGGGGGGGCCCTCGGGCATCTGTGCGCGCTCACAGACACACAGAGACACACCCAGACACACAGACACACAGAGACAGCCAGAGGCACACAGCTCGACAGCCACATCCATACATACACACAGACACATATGTGTGCACACGTGTCCATACACATTCCCAGCTGCACATGCACACAGGTGTGTTCATGGCTGGCTCTGTATGGACACACCTGGACACAAATCCAGGTGCAGCTACCAGGGCACTGTGCCTTGGCTGTACATTTGTACAGAACACTGGAGCTCTGTGTGCAGCTGAACATGCTCATGCATTATTATATAATAGCAACTATACAGTATTATACAGTATAATACACTGCAATGATATGTGTATATATATAAATACATATATAAATAATACAGTATGATATATAAGATTTTATACACTATAAAATATAGATATATACAATGCGTACTTCTCTAATAGATAACATAGCTTATGCATCTATGCAAATACATCGGGTATTCATATGTACACATGGGCACAGACTCACAGCTATAGGCATGGACACACACGTGCATGTGTGTGTGTGTTTATATGGACGATGATTACATGAGGTAATTGTATGTCATGGAGTGGTGGAGGGTGTGTGCAGGGGGATGGATGCATAAGGAATACCATGACATATCTCTCTCTATATATGTATCCACATATATGTGCACATATATGAGTGGATACATATATGTACATATGTATATATAGAAACACAGATATATGTATACATATATATGAATGCTTACATAAATATACACATGTATATGTTTATATGTACTTGTCTATATATAAATGTATATACATATCTATATCTATATATATATATATCGATATATATATATACACACACAAATGTTGGACACCATGATTTTAGATTTTTGGAGGTCTTCCCTATCCTAAATGATTCTGGGATTATATATATATATACACACACACATATACATATATATATATATAAAATACATATATATATATATATTTGTAGACATTTCTCACCCAGGTGTGTGCACACCTTTATAACGCGTTGTGCCAGGGCTCCCAAGGGCTCTGTGCCCTGGGGTTGGGGGCAGGGCAGACCTGGGGGGCTGCCTGTGAGTGTGTGTGGGGCCCCTCCAGGACACAGGCCTGAAGCAGCCCACTCTGCAGCTCTGGATCTTTCCCTGCACCCCGAAAAGCTTTGGGGTGCTGTGGAAGGATGGGCCCCGCTGTCAGAGCTCCCTGAAGATTCTTGTCTGTCACCACCCACCCCCCACTGGGTATTGATGGTTCCTGCTGCCTGTATTGACCCTCCATCAGTGTATGTGTAAAGACCATTTGTCTCCCTCCTTCAATAAACCCTGTGAACGCCATCCTGGGCTGGGGCACGTCACTGTCCCGTGTCCCTGTGCTCCCAATGAGCCGTGTCTGTGCTCCTCAAACACCCCCAAAACAAATGAGTTTTGGATGGTCAGAAGGCAGCGGTGCCCAGCACGCTGCGGCCATCGATTGCTCGCTCCACCGAGCACGTTGCACAAGGAACAAACAAATTGTTTTCCAATTTCTGGCTTTTAATGACTCAATCTGGACCAAATGAGCCGTCAGGGTGATGGGGACACAGCGGCCACTCCCTCCAGGGCCACGGGCTCAGCATCACCTTGACGCAGGTTTGTTACCGAGCCTGCGTGCTCATGGGCTGCATCCTTCTCCAGGTGGACAAAGCTGGAGGATGGACCAAACACTTCTCACCCCTACCTGGCTGGGGCTAGCTGTCCTGGCAGTGGCCAAATCTGTGGGCAGCCTGGCAAGTCCAGCAGGAAGAAATCCAGGCTGGACATGCTCTGATGCACAAGGGGCACGGGAATCCTTGGTGCAGAGCAGAGATTGGGTTGTGCCAGGTTATGGGCACAAACGCACACTCTGGTGTGAATGCTGGCCTTGGCACTGTCAGCTCCTGCTCTCAATGTGCAGAGTTGCTCACCTGTCTGCCAGGTGTGGGGAAGGCTGGACCTCACTTACAGGTACAGTCAGGGCAGGAAGACACTGTGAAGGACAGGCAGGGCTGGAGGTCACTCTGAGGCACAGGCAGGGCTGGAGGTCACTCCAAGGGATGGGCAGGGCTGGAGGTTGCTCTGAGGCACAGGCAGGGCTGGAGGTCACTGTCTCCTTGGTGCACTCACATCTGCTTTGCGTAATTGCAGCAATTTGGTTTCCAAGAGCAAAGTCTCCCGGGAAAGTGGCAGTGAACTCAGTGCTCCTGAGCAGCACGTCAGAGATGGGGGTCAGTGTGGCAGTGGATGAAGAGCTGGCACCTGCTCTGGTGACCTGCCAGGAGCACGAGCAGGTGACCAGGGTGGGAGCAGCCTCCCAGGACACCCCAGCCCTCCCTGCTGCAGGACAGATGGGCTGGGGGCAATGGGAGGGAAAGCCAGGGATTTCCTGTGCACTCTCAGGCATTTCAGCGCATTTCACACTGCTCTTGGGTCTGCCAGTCGCCAGAACCATTGCTACCTTCAACCAGTGCATTTTACTGAGATTTCATTCTTGGCTGCTGTGCTTGAGCTCAGAAAATAAAGAGAGCACTCAGCCCCTGACCTGTGGCAGAGCGTGACCCGAGCGGCAGCGCCTCCCCCTTCTCTCCAGAGCACTTTTCGGGAAGTAGAAGAGTTGACCCTGCCCACGGGACTTACAGGAACACAGCGAGCACAGGAGTGGGTTCGAGGGTTATGCAGCCCGGGCAGGCAATGACTCAGCACCCACCCACTCCTCCTTTCCCTCAGCTCCCAGCAGGAGCAGCAGAGACTGCACAAAGGGCACTTCCTCTTCCTACGGTGGGCCAGAGTAGGGGCCAACCCCCAGGCCCCCAAGGAGCCCCCAGGGCAGGGAATCCCACCAGACCCCTGAGCACGGAGGCTGTACCAGTGCTGGCAAGAGGAGAAGGTGCTTTGGCCCCTGGGAGCGATGGAACCCACCACGCACGGGCTTTTGGAAACCGGTTTTATTTAAATAACTTTAAATACATTACAATAAAACATTAGAAATGAAACCAAAGCCGTGTTACTGCACATGGTGTGAGGCAGCAGCGCTACTGCCGCAAGGCTCTGCAGCTCCAGCTACAGGGATACTCCTTGTTAGTCCAACACCGAGCCCTTGTCACAAGTTTAACCCATGGGACAGCTCTGGCACCTCAGGGCTCGCAGGTACCGGCACCTGAACTGCAGCCATCGGCCTCCAGGTCACTCTTCTGTCACTCCTTCAAGCCAGGCTTCCCCAAATCCCTGTGCCTCCAGCACTGCCCAGAGGGACGGTGCCATGTCCAGGTGCCACGGCACGGGGCCGTGCACCAGGCAGGACACGATCCCCTCTGTCAGGATGGAAGCGCAGCTGGACTGAGGAGCCATCAGGACAGGCCGAGTCTCCGGGCTTAGCTGGGAACAGCTGGAACTTTTGGCTTCAGGCTGGATGGTGCCACTGCCTGCGTTACCTCTGGGAAATGAGGGACAGCCAGACGAGATAGCATGGGCTCGTGTCAGTTTATTACATCACCAATTACAACAGTCCAGACTCAACAGTGGACCCAAGATTGTTACATTACACAAACCGGCTGGTTTTAAACTTATGACAAGGGGCAGGTGGGAATTTCATGGTAAGGATATCTTCTTGCATAAAGCTCCAGTGGCCCACAGGCACTTAAAACCCATGGACTTTCAGCTGGTCGTCTTTAGCCAGTCCAATCTGCAAGACAGAAAATGAATTCACAGCATGGGGTGATGCCTCTGTGCATCCAAACGCTGCCCACACACAAGGACCTGTGTGTATTTAACAAACTCGCGTTTATCTTAGTGAGCAGCAGGCTGAAGGTGTCCTACCTCCACGAGGAACTGGCAGATGTTCTTGCGCTGGTCACCCTGCAACTGAATCACTTCTCCATACTCGGGGTGCTCAATTACAGTACCATTGCAGGCAAATTTCTGCAGCGAAGACACAAAAACTCCCTTAGCACGACACCAACATCCCTGCCGGGTGTGGCTGCTGCCCCCACGAGCCCCGAAGCCCCACCTTCTTGAAGGCCTTCACCAGTTTCTTTTTATCGTAGTCATCCGCGATGCCCTGGACTGTGGTGAGGGTCTTCCTGCCGTTGCGCTGCTGGATCCTTATATGGATGTAGTCCTCAGTGCCGGCCGGGAGCAGGTCATCACCCTTACTTGCATCCGCAAAGGGGTCTGCGGGGAGCGCCGGTCAGACCCCGCCCCGCCCCGGCCCCATTGGCCGCCGCGCCCGCCCGTCACCCCCGGGCCCCGCCCCCGCGCGCCCGCCGGTCACCCGCACATCCCGCCCCCGCCCTCACGCCATTGGCCGCCGCGCCTGCCCGTCACGGTAGGGCCCCGCCCCCACCCCCCCGCGGCTGACGCAACCGGGCCCGGAATAGCAACTGCGCCACGGGGCGGGGCCAGGGCGGGGCCCGCGCGCTCCCCCGGCCCCAGCGCACAAAGGGCCTCACCGAAGGGCTGGAGGTTCTGGATAGCGGACATACGATACGCTTCCCTTCCCTCGGCGGAGGCGGCGGCGGCGGCGACGGGGGCGGCTCTGGCGGCGGGAGCGGCTCTGGGCGGAGGATGCTCTCGCGGCGGCGGCTCGAGGCGCTGTCAGGGGGGCGGGACTGCCGCCGACCGCTTATATACCAGCCCTGCGTGACGTCATCACGCACGGCCAACGAGGGCGATGATTGGCCGTCGCGCGGGGCGTCGGGGCGCATCGGGCGAACGCGGCCGCGCCCCGGCTGGCGCGGGGGGAGCGGGGCGCATGCGCGGAAGAGGGGCCCGGCAGCGCGCGGGGCGGCGCGTGCGCAGTGCGGGGCCGGGACCCCCGGGACCCCCGGGATCCCCGTTCCCCCTCTGGGTCGCCTCCGGCGCCTCCGAGACCCCCCTGGACCCCCAAAATCCCTCTGGGACAACCACCCTCCTCCCCGAGATCCACAAAATACCCCCATGAACCACAGAATACTCCGAGGGACCACTCAAACTCCTCCATATCCCCTTGGGATTCCCCTCCAAATAACACGGTACGCCCCGAAACCCTCACAGGGGCCCCATATCACTTCCAGCCCTCGCAAATTTTCTTTGGGCCCTCCAACCCTCCAAAAAACACCCTTGTTATGCCCCTCAAAACCTCTCCGGGACCCCCAAACTTCCCGGGAGTCCCAAAACCCCCCAACCCCTCCTCCACTTTCCTAAAATCTCCTTGGGGCCCTCTAGCCCCCTCCAGGATCCTCTTGGAATTCTCCAAAGACTGATCCCCTTTCCTGCCGGGCCCTTGCTGGCCCCTCGCTGGCCACACATTGTCCAGCCGTAACCATCACCCCCGGATGGCTGCAGGAGCCAGG